ATAAGCTTTTGGAAACTTTTAAAATATTCGTCGAAACTTTCACTTAACGAACGAACCAGATCCACCGATCTTCCCTTCGACGCATGTTCTTTGTAACAATCTCGTCTCAGGACCCGTTTCTCCTCGATCGAGACAAGTTCGTTTCCATTGGCCGCCTTCCTCGGTTTTTCTCTTCGTTTCGTTCGAACGACGACGACGATGGGGATCCTTTTCTCGAGAACATCTTCCCAGGCGATGGGGCATCACGATCTCGAGTCTCGAGGTATCGCCTCATGTCGGCTAATGTCGAGGGTCGGCCAATACGATAGCAGCGGATAAAAGCGGAACCGGAAGCGGGGCAATTATTCAGTCGAGTGACTAGCTCGGGTCAATTGTCCTGATTGCGTTCACGGTGGCCGCTGTCGGCAGGAAAGCGTGCTCTCGCTCGGATTAACCTTGTCGATGCTATATTTCCACGGCGTACAGTGTCGTTCATAATTGATGCAGCCTCGCATAAGATTTTGCAACAACGCGACGAAAAATTAAACAACGACGCGTTAACCTCTAACCATGCACGTCGACAATTTTTTTTTTGTCCTACATTGCAACATTTTCTCAGTTTTAAGTATACTTAAATGTAACCCAGACGAAACAAACGATAAGTTTATTACCTCTTAATAATTTCTATCCAGTGATATCATACCGACGAGATTCAAATGAAAAAGAAAGCGACGATTTATTGTATACGGTCTTTGGTCACTCGTTATGGTCCGCAGAACAGTTACAATTACAGAAATTTCGGATCAGTAACACTTACTTTGTCGACTGCATGAGTATACATGTAAAATTAATGTATACGTATATTGAGAAAGAGAGAGACGAGTGGATTTGATTGGATACGCGACCTATCAGTCGATTGTTTCAATCATCGATTTTCGTACGTTTAGAAGGTTGTATTAAATATCTTCATTGTTGTAAATTGTTAATATTGTAAATTAAATTCATACGTTATGAAGAACGCGGTAAGAAGGAATTCGTACAGTACACTTTAATAAGCTAATGATTGACAAAATATCTGTTCTTTGTAAAACTGATCCCAGATATCCATTCGTTATGTTCGCAACAGCATATTTCTATCATTTACAGTTGATACAAGGAAAAATTGTTCCCTGTGATCTAACAAAAATCGAATTTTAGAAAATACGCGAGTGACTGCGATACCTAACGTAACGCAATTTTCTACAACACAAAATGTATTGTATTGTACTCTCCATTGTATTCCAGACAGCAAGCAAATTTCACATGCTCCGGGATCACAAACCACTCTTTCCTTTTTTGCAAATAACGGTTTTAAAAATCGAAAGAGAGAAAGACCTTCGCTGCCACGTTCGCCGAGAGCGATGGTGTTTCTTCACTTTTGTTATGGTTTCCCGCGAGGAAAGAAGAAGAAACTGCGCGGGAAACTTTCGAGAGGGAAGAAGTTGCGCGACGGCGGGATAAAAATCGCGAAGAAGTTAGCCGGATCTCGTGAATTTCAAACGGCGGTGGCGGTTCGAAGGCCGGCGAAAGAAATTCCAGTACGTGACGGCCATCTTCTCGGCCGGTGGAAATTTTTCGAGAACCACGTTTCCACTTTTGCCATGCCGAAGCGATAAACTACCAATCCCGCAGGGACTTGCTCGCCGTTTCACGGTCCACGAGGAAAGAGACTGTCCTCCCAAAGATGGTTGAAACGTCGCTGGATATTAAACGAAGTCGCTGAATTTTTATCCGCTCGAAATTCCGACACTCGGAGCCTGCTACGGCCTGAACGATGTTTTAAACGAACTGCATGCTCTTTAGCAACGCGGCGACGCACTGTTCAAACGGCTGTCTAATTAGGAAAATAGGTTATAATTTGATTTTCTTTTTTTTTTCTTTTTGTCAATACGCTGATGTGTTATGGCTCGAGAATTGTAAATATTTCCAAAGACACGAATACTGTAAAATTTTTTATTGATAAAATTCGAAACCTGTTTGAGAATGTGCGCGGATGTTTGCAAGGTATTTGTTGTTGAAACGAATGGTTAGTTTAAGACAAATCTAGTAAATATATAAGGTTTCATTGATAATTTACGGATCTAGTAAATATTATTGTGTTAATAGATTGTGGATCGAACACTTGTACCAAATACATAAAGAATTGTACGATTTATACGATTCTGGATTTGATATTGGCCAGAAAGTAACTGCGATCTTTCGTGTGCGAATGGAAGGCGAATTTTTCTTGCGATAACATTTTACAGTTAAATTTCTTTTGATTAATTTACAAGGATATTGTACACCGTTGACTTTGTTATTATAAATATAAAAAGAGGACATCTATGCCTCATTAAAACTATCATCAACTCATTTTTTTTTTTTTTTTTCTAAAAGTGGACTTATACCACTTTCAAAGAAAGAAAAATGACTCAAATGTTTGATATCTAATTGTAGATTATTCGTTGATTATACAAAGATAATTTTTCCTGAAAGGATAAATACAGTGCGATGATGCCAGGTCGTACGCTGATAGATGTATCCAATGTATGGCAATTATATTTCAACATGTTGCGCGCTTTGCTGTCCAGGCTCGATGGGAAAACGAAAGCTGCGAAAAAGCTTCGCGCTTCGGCGTTGGGAAGAGAACGGGACAACACCGAGAGCCGGTGGGCTGTATCTTTTGTAAAATGAAATACCGCGTGTAAGAAGCTCGTGGAATATTCAGGATTAAACTCTCCCGTTCCCCGGGCGCTCCCGAAGACCGGATAATTTATTCAGCTCGTTCCCTGGTCAAACTTTGTTGCAACAGACCGGCATTAACAATAAAGCATCGTTTTATCGGGCAATTTATAGCCCGCGTTCTTCATTAAACTTCGCCGAACGTTGCCAACAGTTTCCCCTTTTAAGCGTATGCGCGGCAAAAAGAACGAGACGTTTAATTATCTTTTTATCCCACCCTCGAGATGCATCGCGAAATTGCGTTACCGCTGTGCATCCTTGCGAAATTTACCGATACCCCTCCTCTGCTCCCCCCTCGCTGCATCATGTATATCATCGTCATACTATGGCCGCTGTAGGATTCGTCAGGTACCAACCTGCAATTAATTACTCTGATTATCCATTTAAATTTCATTTCGCTGAATGTAATTTGTTGCAAAACACGTTAAGGAGATTAATGGCGAGCCGTCGAGGTCCGGGAAATATTATCGAAACGCGTTGATCGTTTGGAATACACTTCTCGATAACCGCGCTCCTATTAATTAGAATTGTTCGGGAATTTTGGCGAGCTATTTGTACACTTGTCGACTTTCGGAAACTCTGGCAATTCGGGGAATGTTATGCCGATGACGTGTTAGTTAGAGCCGGCGCGTAAACCAGTTTTGCACACCTGACGGCTTTTAGAAAATCATCGGACATTAATAATTTGACAAATATTGGCGTCAATGGCAATTTAATTACAGCTGTCTTTGAATTTTAGAAGATTATTGAACTTTGACGTTTATTAATAGCGTTTGTCATTTGGGAAATATTTCTAAATATTCTATTAATTTAGTATTTATTTAGTAAATGTTACATAAATCAGAGGTGTCTGCAAATTTTTGACGACTTGCTAGAAAATTATTATGTTTGTGCGTAATTCTTGATGCAAGTTTTATATTTTAATTGAATCGAGCTATCCAGAAGTCAACTCTCAATGAATTTGAATAATTTTCCAATAGATAATAAATTTATTCCGACTCGAAATAAAAAGTTTTATTGTGTTTTATTTTTTGTTTTTATTTTACAATATTCTTTAATGATTTATTTAGTTGTTTATTAGAGCAATATAGACTATAGTATCTAGACAAATCTAGAATTTAGTAGCTTTAATAATCTTGTGTAGTGCAAAAATTATTCTACGAGTTGCTGCATTTAATTAATTTCTTATACTATGCTGTGTACAGTACTACACCGTTTAATAAAGAAGATTGGTAGGTTTCTATCATGCAAAAACTATGCTTTCCAATTCTTCATGACCTGATAATTTTAACAGATAATAAATTTAGTTTAATTCCAAGAAAAGAAGTTTTATTTCTATATATTTTATTTCTCGTTTTTATTTTACAATGTCCTCTAATGGTTTATTTAGTTCTTTTAACAACCGTATAGTGCAATATAAGTTTTTGCAAAACAAAGATCACAAAATCATTGGATCCGTACTGCGTTTAATTAATTTTTTGCTAGTCGGAGAATTGGAGAGCAGAAACTGTGCTCTCCAATTCTGAGTAACTTCGATGATAAACAAATTTAATTTCATTTGAAGATTTTAATTTGCAAAAGAGGAGTGTCATTTCTGTTGGAAGTGTTTGCTTTTGTTCTACGATGTTTTCCAATTGTTTATCGTGAGCACAGACTGTAGTGTTACAACGAGTAGACAAATTTAGAATGGTTTTTAACAAGTAACTGTAACAAGAATTATTCTACGAGTTGTTAAAGTTCTTTTGCAAAACAAAGATCACAGATTAATAGGATCCGTACTGCGTTTAATTCATGTTTTGTTATTTCCTTGATGTTTTCTTCTGTTAAGGCAGAATTGGACCAATCGGACCAATATGGTTCGCGGACCATAACGAGTGACCAAACCGTACACGACGCTTCGTCTTCGTTTTGAATTCATCGGTATAATGCCTGGATAGAAATTACTAAGAAGTAGTAAATTTATGCCTGGGTTATATGTCAATATACTTAAAACTGAGAAAATATTGCAATTTTTGGCCAAATGTTGCGTGGCACGTCATTTCAGCGCAAGAGTTTTCACGAAACGAAGACCACCGACTCGCTTCCAGCGGTAAAGTCGGCCTCCTCGCAGAGGCAACGTATATATTTGGAGTAATGTCTCCCTAGAGAAGGAACACGACGCGGTGCAGTCGTGTAGGAGGAGCGGTTCTCTCATGCACGATGTCGCACACGTGCAGCACGAAACTCGCGGTTCGCCGCAGCCACGGCGAGTTAAGAATCGGACGATTCACTATTTCGCTTCTTTCCTTTCAGGGTGATGATGTAACGGGACTTTCGCTGTCGCTGCAGTGAAGCAACGATGTCCACACAATGCAACCGCTTCGTGCAGAACGCCTGGAAGAAGGAACTCTGTTCGAACTGCTTCAAGCCGCGCGAGGAGCACACCTTGCCGGAAGAGACGTTCAGGCTGAACATTGGCAAGGCTCTCAACTGTGGGAAAACGGACAATGTTAAGATACAGGTAATCTAACGATTTACTTCTATAAATCCTCTGATCGCTTCTGCTTAACTGCATGAAAATCGCAGGGGAGTCAATTTTAATCGAAAACGAAGAGAATCTGTTGACATCGAAAACAGCTAATGAATTTCACAGCAAATGAACTTTTATGAAAGTCGAAAATGTAGTTGCCGAGACAATATTTTAATAACTTCGGTATTATATATAACTCGGTTGGAACGAGTAATATTTTGAAGACTCCGAAGAGGAGAGGAACACCTGGCTAGTTCAATTTGGGAAATGATAGGAAACATTATGATCTAGCACACTATTTCTCGGTAAAAATTACTTTGAAACGTATCATTCCGTTTATCACCAACGAAGTTGAACGATACGTTATCACGCTTGTATATCGCCATCTGCGAGCTCGTTTCAACAGAAGTGAATGGAATTTTTGAGAAAGTTAGCAATATTGCTCGGAGCTCCTTTAGACGGCGTGTTATTAAATATAATATAAATCATCCACAAGATTCTGTGTTACAATTAACGATCACTTGGACAGTAAACGAAATTATAAGGTAATAACTAGAATACTAATTCATTCGTTCACGCATTAGACGTGACGTACAAATACAAATCTTCGGGAAAATATCTCAATTCCCGTAATCGGAAAATTCTCGGTTCTAATCGAATTACTTCCGGAATTACTTCTGAAATGGGGGACGAGGCAAGATCAGGGGAATTAACATTTTGCCGTGACCGATTACAGCGAGCGAAAAAACCGGGCGACTAAACGACAAAATCGTTCAGCTCGGTCGAACCGGAGTTCTTTATCGTTTTCACGCGCAATGACGCGATAGAGCTGTGCAACTAAATTATCGATTATCGATAAATTACGACGTCTTATTGATACCTGTTGAGGCGGAAGTTAACTGTAACAAAATCCCGCGCAATCCCGTTTAAGTATTTTTAAAGCCTTAAATGCCAACGTTTTATCTCTGATTGTTTGTTTGTTTGTTTGTTTGTTTGTACGTAGCGTATTTCGCGCTAACGCTAATTGCTTCGAAATTTTTAAATCCGATCTTTGAATTGAAGATTCTATTATGTACGCTGTTCATCGAATAACACTTCATCAATTTAATCTTGCGATATATAACGTTGTATAAATAAAAACATATTAATATTATCTTGTGATATATAATATACTGATCTTATATTGAACAATTTTTTAACTGCTTCGAAATGTATCGTCTCGATCTTATTCCTACCATAATTGAACAAATGATCAGTTATGAGACGAAGATCATACTTTTACGAAAGGAGCATTTAATATCTTTCCTCCTATTATCTAAAAGATGTTTAATAATTTCTTAGACGAAAAAAATTTTTTTACAAGAATATTTAATAATATCTTTCCTTATTAAAAAAGAAAAAAAAATTCTAACAAGCGGAGTATCTTTTAGATAATAAGAAAACAAATTATATACAGAAATCGTGTACACAATTATATACACAAAGTTACATAAACAAATCAATATTAATAATAAATCATATACTATATATATCATAATTATATACCGAAACTTACATACTATACATATTAATAATAAATTATATACAATATCTATTATAATTATATACAAAAGCTTACATCAGAAGAAAAATACGAGGATTGTCCAAGTTTGTCAAGTCGTGCCAGCTGATGACAATCTTATCAGAATATCGCGTTGCAACTTTTGCTGTCGTGTTACGTGGAAACTGTTTCAGTTCCACCGAAAGAATTCCTCCCGGCGAGTACTCGCGCGAGGACGACCTTTGGAGGGAATTAATCTCGATGATCGAGCCGGCGGCCAGCTAACTGTTTCCTCCCCCCCCCGCACAGGAAAATTGTTATGAAGTTCCGCGGCGTCAAGTTCGTAAAACTGGGTCGTTCGAGCAAAGGACCGACGCGCGCGCGACGCCGTGCTCGCCGGGAATTCCTGGTCCGCCTCGCCGCGCCGGCAAGAAGAGGGAATTTATGTGTGTGGACCGTAACACACGCGGCCGTATCCAACCAGGCTTTTTGCCCCGCGCGTGGATCGCGGATCGCTGTGCGAACTTTTGCCGAGGCTCGCTACCTCTCTTCTGTCCTCGCTCGCGTGTTTTCCTATTCCCGATTTCTCGTGTTCCAACGGACGAGCGGACGATAATGGATCGTAGAACGTTGCAAGATGTTCAAACAGGCCAGGTAATGGAGGAAAAATCTCTGGGAGTACCAGCCAGCGATCGTGCATAGATGGTCGATTTCAATTAAGCGAATTTTTCGAGTCCGCCGCTTGGCAGCGGCTCGTCTGGGACCAATTCCCCCGACGGAATAAACGATTGATCCAATTTATCGGCTGCTAATGGAAAAATGAACGCGCTCTGCGATGTTTCTTGCTCGTGTGTACTACGGAGAGGTATAAATATTATCTGATATTGTATTGTATGTTGTATTGTACAGGTAAGTACGCTGGTTGTATTTGATTGGGCAAAAAGTTGCGCAAATGGAAAGGCGAGTTTTTCGTGAGAAATGAAAAGTTTGTCAGACGAGACGTCGAGTCTGCTACTTTGAAGCAGTAGAGAAAATGTGCTTGAATAATCAGCTGTCGGGTTGCTGAATGAATCTGCGGTTTACATTTCAAGATATACACACGTGTCCATCTATTACGAATATCAGCAATTACTCTTTGGCGAATCCATTAATTACAAAACACGTTCACTCTAATGAAGTATGATTGTCACGACTGCAATAATGTTTGAGACCAATCTGAAAATATATATATATATATATATATATATATATATATACAGAATCGAAATAATAGTCCTGCTATATTAATGTTATATTAATTAATTTGTTATATTAAATAATTGTTAAATATTCAGTGACACTGACTCGTTTTTATACTGAATTAAAATGTTCAATTATTTATTGCGCCATAGTTCCACAATATCCGTAGATGCTCATATTAAATATTTCACAACTTCTACATACAATTTTAGATATGCAATCGAGTCTTGTTACAATACCAATGAAAAAAAAAAAAAACATACAGCACAAAAGAGTTTCACGTAGCGCGTTGCGTTCAATTCAGAGAAAGAACGATCGCGGAGAGCGTCAATGATTTTGTTGCGCATATGGAAAAAAATATGGCTAGTTGAAGGAAGATCAGAGACAACTGTCTGACAATGAGTCTCTTTTGTGTCTCTTGGAAAGAAGCGAGCCGCGCGCTCCAAGTGCATACGCCGTACACGGCTTAATGTCCCATTGAAGAAGAGCTGAAGAGGCTGAATCGCGACGCGGCATTTCCATTGTGAAGGAATTCTAAATTTACGCGACGTCCGCGCGACGCGAGCCGATGACAAGGGTGAACGCTTAATCGCGGCGACGCTTAGCGCGCGCCTCTGTCCACACCGTGTAGGGTAGGCGTTATTCTACGCGAGAGAGGGTTTCCACTCGCTTTGCACTCGTGGGCGCGTCCCGCGTGGTAAATCATCGTTCGCCCACTCGCGTATCCCGCCACACTTTGAAAACCGTCCCGCGCGTATTTCCATTCCGCGCGCAGGAAATCGGGCGAGAAAAATCAAACGCGTAGAAAATGAGAAAACCGAGCGTTCACTTTCTCTCTCACTCTTTCTTTCTCTCTCTCTCTTTGGATGGTTAATCTCCGTACTTTTCGATATCCGGTGAGATGGAAAACAACGCATCCGAGAGCGATTCCGCTTTCCTTTTATTTTTCGTTCGCGGCGACAGAGTAAAGAGGACGTGATCGAGCGTGATCGAGCGTGGCATCCGGGCGAAAGGAACTTGCGGAGGAGCGCGAGTGTTTCGCGGAAGGAGTCCACAAGTATGGACAAACGGTGCAAGAAATTAAGAGAGCCCGTGGAAATTCTCACCCTCCAGCGACTACCACTTTTTCTGCAACTTACAAAATTTTCTTAATGGGAAAAAAATTCGCCAATTTCGAGTTGGTATAAATGACTGTTGACGGAGTTCTTCTTCGTCAAATATCTCAAAAATTATTGAAGATACAGTTTTTGTGTGAACTGATGAAATTAGTGTTTTTTTATTTTAACATTTAACGATGCATATCATTTTGCGAAAAAACTATTTGTTCAAATGATATATTAAAAGAAACTTTTTAATTATATAAAAAAACTTTTAATTATATTAAGAAAGTTAATTTTTTTTATGTTTTTCCGAGTAAACTGTCGTTTTGTGTAACAATAAATCAGTGTATTGACATACAAGGTCATCGCTTCGAACATCATAGATAAAAAAACAGATATACAGATCGCTATACAGATCGCTGAATTCTTGATGTCAGCTACGAGACTGTGAACTCGAAATTATACAGTTCCATTTGAAAAAGTAAATGTCACCTTGAAATCTCGGAAGCCTGATCTCCACCTGTAATAAATAAGATTTGTGGCCTCCTCGAAATAACGTAAATTCTATTCGAAACATTTTTCTCTAGCGAACAGCTTAAGAGAAAATTGCAAAAACTGAACAGCTTCGTACAGGACACTTTGTATATCTAAATAGAATAATAAACGCCTCTTATAACTGGTAACGTCCTTCGTTCAGAATAATCGTAACAATTAGATTGAATTGTAAAATGGCCGAAAATTCGCGAAGATTCGCGAAACGACGTAGAAGCTTCTTTTGTGTCGAGTCGTCGCTATCGAAGGAATTCGCAGTGTCACTTTGACGATCCCACCAGTCGCTGCCACGCGCTGACTGACGTGTGAATGTGAACCATACGGAGAACGGAAAATTTGAGAACAAGCCGAGACTCGCGGAGAAATCGGTCGCTGGATCCACGAATTGAATAATTCATCATTCAAGAAGGTGGTTTCATTAACGCCAGCTGACCATCAGAAAATTTCGCGTTTTTGCGCCAGCTGCGCCGATCCAGCTCTCATTTCCTGACAGACGACGATAAGACGGTTCAAACTAGACGAGCAGGATCCTTCAACGCCAAAGCCAGAGTACAATTTCTACCAAGTAGCAGCGAATTATTAGCCGGATTGCTGGAGGATCGAGTGGCTCGGACGATTATAACTTGGTTAAGCTCGGGATCGCTCCAACTCGATCGGCGCTGCGACGTCGCGGCAATAATATTTAATTTCCATCGAAGAGGAGATCGCATCGTAAAACTCGACCCGTTCGATCGCCGGTGTCAAAGATTACAATTCATGCCTGTCGCTTGGAGAATTCTGGTAATCCCTTCACAGTTCCGTTTCACGAAATTCGTTCAATATTGGAAAACTGAGACGTAGCGATTGTAGAAACGAAGAACAGCGGTGATGTTATTATTATTAATAAATTATATTTTATTTTGTAATTATAAAAATGAATATTCATTCAGTCAATATTATCATCAAATATCACGATGTCGTATAATTGCGGTTTTTGATAATTCGATGTACAATTATATCAAGAATCGATTCAACTTGCAGCTCAAATAGAGAGGAAATTATATTATCTTGAAAAATATTACTCACCTGACTGGATTATAAAAAATATTCAAATATTCCAATTTAATTTGAAGTTAGAGATATTGGAATTAAAATAAATTTAAAATTAAAATAATTTCAAATAAGAAAAGAATAGAAAGATGGAACTTTTTGTGAACGTCAGATATGTTTATACGTTTGAAAATGATAGACGAACAGGAGCGTACTTTTTCAATTCAAGAATTTTCAAATATTCAAAAACTTAATTCAATTTCAAATTTGAAATATTGGAATTAATATAAATTTGGAATTAAAATAATTCTAAATAAGAAAAGAATAAGGGGATTTTCTATGAACGTCAGACAAGTTTATACGTTTGAAAATAATAAAAGAATCTGCCAAAAATTCTGCAAATAATGTTCACTACAATCAGGGCGAAAAGAAATTGCGAGAATATTAAATAAAACACGTAAAAATGTTTTCTTCTGAAGCGAATGCTGAACATTTGAATATAATATAATATATAAAATATAATATAGAACATTATATATAGAAAAAAAAAATATTCGACCGAAACAAAATCGACATTCCTAAAAATGCAAAAATGTGAGAGTGTCAAATTGTTCAAAGATATGATAATTTTCAGAGTATCCTGCGGGGGAAGACGGTGTCGTCGCAAAAAGATCAAAGGAAGAAGAGCGTGGCGTTCACAGAGCGGCTGACGGAGATCATCGGTTACGGTGGCGATGACTTTTTCTCAGACGGTGACGAGGGGGACGAGCAAGACTTTGTGGAGTCTTTCAATGAGGGCGACGACGCGTTGCCAGACAGCGAGGAGGAGCGAGCTCTGGGCAACCTGACGCGTGCCAATACCAACTTCAACACGATCACCGCCAACTTGTCGGAGATCGTCTCGACGAACGAGACGAGCAAGCCGCCCGCTACGACGAAATCCTTCGCGTCCTTGATGCTCGGCAGGATACAAAAGGACTCGGAGGGCAAGAAGACCACGTTGCTGGTCTCCGTCACGCCATTCGGCGGCGACGAGACTCTGCCGACCGCGAAGAGGCCCAGCGACAAGAAGGTGAATGGTTTCGTCAATGGATTCACCAACTTCTCCAAGTCTAAGACGGCGGAAACTGACAAATCAGAGGTTGGTAGTATTTACCTCGTATCAAGTTTCGTACTGTAAATTTTCATCAACTTGGGAAATTGGAAATTTCTATGGTTATAAATAATATTGGTAATGGCGGAAGACACCAAAAAGAGAGAAAAAAAAAAGAAGAGTTAAAATAAAAACACGTAAACGAAGTTGTAGAGGGGTTAATTTGAGTCGTTTGATTATTTATTGAAAAAAAACAAACTTTTTTTGAAGGATGGATGAGGATTTATGAGAGGAGGAAGTACTCATAAATGAAAGCCTAATCAAAGGGAATTGCTGTTACAGAGGGTCTAAGAGACAAACTAATAAATCTCGTCTAAATTTTCGTTGTGACGTCAGTTGTTTCTAACAAGAATTTAAAAGTCGAGACATTCACAATTAAGGAAGTAATTGTGTTGACACTAGAACTCTCGACGACTGAAGCAAAAAATTCTCACCAGAGACGTTAAAGTAAAAAAAAAACAGAAAATCTTTATAATGCAATAGGATACACAAGCTTTCATTTGTGTATTTTACGAAGAGTCGTTTAAATCTCTAAAAATGCGCTGTTTTACATCTATAAAATATCCAAATAAAAAAATTGGTCATTTCGACTACTTTGGTAGTTCTAGTACTAAAGAGATTAAGAATTCAAGCGGGTGTAACAAGTTAATACAACTTTACATATTTACACATCCGGATTAATGTCTGATTAATGTAATAGACACGTGAGAAAGTTGCTGAAATCGTTTTAGAGAACGATTCAGTTTCATTCGCGACACGAGGAGTTCTCGATTAAATTTTAATTGGATTTTTAATATTCTTACAGACGACGGCGAGGAGCACGAAGAAAGCCGACGTCGACGCGAAGAAGGACGAAAAGAAGGATCAAAAGTACTCGCCCGGTATGGAGAAGATCGTGGACATGCCCCTGATCACGTCCAGCAATTTAATTTCTGTCGTTCAGCGGAACACGGAGCCCGGCTGCGATTCCGACAGCAGCAAGAACAAAACGTCCGAGTCTAACGTAACAAACGCCGAGACAAACCCGGAGTGTGGTAAATCGGACAAGAAGGGCGCCAATTGGGCACTTCCTCGAAGCCAACCAACGAGAAAGTCCGACAACGAGAAATCGAGGCTGCCTGCGCAAGGTTCGTCGAACGGCGTCAAGTTCGAGTGTGAATTTGCCGGAAAGACTGGGAAGAAAGAGCAAGAGAACGACAAGGGTATCGAGTTGACTCTGACGCCTTTGAAGAACGAAGCCTCTGACGACGCTGCCGAAAGCGACAGATCCATGCTCGTTCGTGGAAAAGAGGCCAGCAAAATTTGCGTGTCGTTGAACGAGGGTAGAAAGCTCGTCGGAGACGATCCTCCGTTGTCCGAGGTGCGGAAAGTGGAGGGCGAGGCTACGGTCGCGGAGAAGAGATTCAGTTTCGAGGAAAGTCGAGAGTCGGCCGGCGAGCCGGATGGAAAAGCGGACGAGGAGCAAGTGACGGAACCACCGGCTCTCCCGAACAGTCCTCCGCCCGTTGAGGCTAAATCTCCTCTTCACGGCGAGACGCGCAACACGCCGGTCATCACCACGGAACCCAGACCGTCATTTCTGCACGGAGTAGTTCACACTGCGGAGTCGAAGGTGAAGCCTACAGTGCCTCAGAAGCCGACTAATTTCTTGGCCAAGGCCGGCGCTGTTGCTTCCTCCGATGGGAATGCGAAGAAGAGTCACGTGCTGGCTCCTCCTTCGATTCAAAGCGCCGGTGGAAAGCCTGTCTCCGCCGTTGCCGGTGAGAATTCGAAGCGTTTCTCTCTTCATCTTCCAAATTCCTACTCAATCTCCGAACATTGAAATTTGCAGATATCCGTATCTCTGGATTCGTTGGATTTGTGAATTCTCGGATTCTCGCGTGTTTTGAAAGCTTCAACTTGCAAACAGTCGTATTCTCGAATTGTCTCTCGACTTTATAATTTTCGAATTTTCGACACTTTGACCGGTGCTACTGTATTACTTTATTTATTAATACTCTATTTATTGTTAAAAATTAGCTTGTCAAATTAGAGATTTTCACACGTTCATATCTTTCGCATTTTGTCTCGAGCGTAGGTAAGAGAACTTGCAAACCAAGTCCCCCGGATAAATCTCAGTTAATTTCGGATATAACAGGTTTCTTTCCAAAAAATGACAATTGCCATCTCATAAAAGCAAGCAACATAGTTTCGAAAAATATATATTAAAACCTTTGTGCGAAAATAGTGGCGTAAAGTCACATTTTCGTAACGCTGGCGAAAAAGAAGTCACGCGTACGTTGTGAATTTCTCAAAAGTGAGTAAACGTGGCGTCGCTAAATCCGCGCGACGACGAGGACGTTCAGCGGCGGCAAACAATTAAATCACTGTCGCTGCGACGCCGAGAGGATTATTCGTAAGCAGATCGGATAGACGTATCGCGCGAAGTCACCCCTCCAATTAGTCGAAACAATGATCGCTGCTAGACGCTGAGTCCACGGCGCGACACTGCCCGCTCTAATTAACGACATTTGCATCTCTAACTGATTTACAGGTGCCAACAGCGTCTCATCTGCGGACCAGATAACTTCGTTTCCACGCTTGGCGACTATCAAAGACAAGCCGGAGGATCAAGTTACCGCCGCCGCCTCGCTCGTGGATCAGAATCGCGGCTCTCACAACGAGAACGCTCCGAAGCAGCCGGATCAGCGAGAAAACAGAACTTCTCCGTTCCATCAGGACGTTTCAAAGCCCGCCTGTCAAGTCCAAGTCGAGTCCAAGTCGCCGAGCGCCGAAGTCTCTTCATCTCCGAGATCGTTGACAGGAGTCAAGTCAAAGACGCCGTTGACCGTGGCGAGAAATCAAACCGCAGACGCGGTAGATAGGAGAGCAGAGTGTCCTCCGGAAGTGGAGGAGGAAATTTTAGATAGCCAGCTCTCGGCGGCGGAGTCGATACGATCGCCGAGCAAGAGGAGAATGGCGCCGAAACCCCCGGCCGCCGATCCCGCGGAGGAATTGCCTCCAAGTTCCAGCTTGTTCGCCAGAAATCCCGGGGCGAATTTCAAATCGGACTCGCCGGTGGTCAGGGAGAAGGAGAAACGAGAGAGAGCCTCCTCCTGCAGCCCGAAGTTTCGCAAAGCTGTGTCAGACTTGCCGGACCCGACGAGCGCGCAAACGTCGGATTCGGCGTCGAGGAGAACGATATCGCTGTCGCAGGACAGCTTGACGAGCGGGCCGGATATCCGGGAGGAAAAGAAGAGAGGCAGGCCGCGTTTCTCGTTGAAGAGGTTTCTGAGGATGGGCTCGAGGAAGGACGTGGACATGGTCGGCGGTCACGCGTCCAGCTCGAGGATCGACGAGATACCGTCGACGCCGCAACCGAAGCCACGACTGGAGATTATTCACCCGCTCGAGCTGGACGGCGCTGCCGTTGAAGTTGTGGGGAACGATCGGATCAACAGGATAAACGAAGATCAACCAGATTCCTGCGGTCTCAGGAGCGACGCGGCAAGAGCAACTCGATCACCGTTGTCCACCGGATCGCACGCCGCTGGTAAGTTTCCCCTTTTTTGTCACGCGATCGTTTTGTTCGAGAGCGATTTACTCGATATCCTCGAGAGGGATATCGCGGAGAACCGACGAGCGGGAGTCTTCGGTGGAATGTTTTTCTTGCGATATCGGTTTATCCGATCTCTGATCATAGGACAAACATTATCGCGACGATTCTCCACCATTGAGCGATTTCTTCGAATTTTGTTGAGTTTACCCAACGTTTGCAAACGAGCCGTGTAAAATGTTTGTTGCGGTGTGTTGCAGTGAGACCAGGGAAACCACCACCACCGCCGAGGAACCAGTCTCTGGAGGATTGGCCGAGGCTGGATCCAACGAGCAAACCGGTCAGACCACCACCACCGCGAGTCGAGACCAAACAACCGCCGTCGAGAAGCGAAGTCAAGTCATCCACCAAGTCGTCGTCGTCGTCGTCGTCGTCGTCGTCAACATCGTCTTCGACGTCCTCGTCGTCTTCGTCTTCGTCTTCGTCGTCGTCTTGGCAACCGACAGCCTCGACCACCTCAGACTCGATTTACGCGAATCTGGGTAAGTTCAGGCCCATCCAATGTAACTAATGACTATCCACCGGCAAGAAGTCTCGATGTCGTAACAGCCATACTCACACGAATCCTCGCGCCAGTTTGCTTCCCCCGACGAGTTTGCAGTTTCTCACCGCGGGAGTGAACGCCCGATCGGGGGAAAAGGTAATCCTGTAACGCTGGACAACGGTGGTTAACTCTCACCCTCCTCAATTCCCACATACTCCCTTGTCGGTTTTTCTCTTCGTTCCTCGTTTCGCCGTGGGTCGACGTACCGGGTCGTCGTGAAATCGCCGTCTCTTTTCAATCGTCTCTCCCCCCCCCCCCTTCCCTTTTTTTATTTCTCAATTTCGATGGTGCTCGTTTACCCGCGTCTCCGCGCGAACGAAGATCTCGAGACTTGGACGATCGACGAAGACGAACAACCGGGATCCCGCGAATATCGGACGAAATGAAATATTTTTCTCTCTCGATGTAACACGTTATTCTTTTAACTTTGTTATATGCCATACGCGTTTCTATTTTTTTAACTTTTGTTTTTTTCTTTTTTTACGTACACACACACACACACACACACATATATATATATTATTTTACGACTAATCTTCTGGAATGACTCCATCACTCGTGTACTTTCTCGACTAACTGTGTACTCCGATTTATGTAGAAACATTCACAATTCTTTGTGATACAACTTATTATTACCGTGTAATTTCGTACTTTTTGTTGGATGAAACGACGCGCGAAGCGCTTTTTACGTTCTTTTTTTTTCTTTTTTTTTTTTTCTAATAGCTAGCTTTTGTTCACGAAACGATACAGTCGCGATTGTTTTTCCATAACGGGCCGGAATCGCGGTCATTTCGATACGAAGATCTTTCTCTCTCTCTGTCTAACGGACGAGAGAGCGTATCGATCAGAAGTTTGAGAATGGCTGGCCGAATTTGAAAAAAACGAATTCAAAACTGGAAAGAAAAAAGGTGCGACATCAGTTGCACGAGAAACGACGATAAAATTTCTCTCTCTCTCTCTCCCTCTCTCTCTGTGTCTCTTTTTTTTCTTTTTGTAAATAAAACGATAACGAAATGGAACACGAAAGATTCTGTAACCTCGAATTTCTGTGTCTGAAATAAACTGGATTTGTTGTCTGAAAAATCAGAGAGCCTTGTTTTCTTATCAATTAGTCACGTGTCACATTCTCGCAATCTGTTTCTCTCTTTTCTTCTTCTTCTTTTCTTTCTTCAAACATTCGTTCGTTGCACCCGTCGTGATCCTGGTATCTCACTATCATCCGTCCGCGCTCCCTCCTCTTTCTTTCTTTTTTTCTTCTCTTTCTTTCTTTCTTTTCATGACGAACGGAACGAAGGCCTCGACAACGTGAAACGACGAAGCGAAAAAACGAACCACGATCGATTCATCCACGATAATTGTTATTGGATCGCGGACGTTCGACATTTGGCGCGGTTCGATTCTGCGGCTGCTTCATCGTTTAACCGCATGCACCGATCGGACTGCGTTTTCAAAGACTCTGCGGAATTTGCGTACGTTCATCATTTTCGTTTACGTTCCTTAAAACGTTCGAAGATCGAATCATCATTTAGATTTTAGATAATTTTGCAGAGCACGCGAGTGGAAATATCTTTTAATCGCAATTACACGTTTTCGACGATTTCAGTTAATTCAATTTCGTTGATTCGTTAATGTTCAATTTTCGAGGATCGAGTCAGTCGTTTCGATCAATTTGAGAAAAAAAAAAAAAAATTAAAAAAATAAATAAATAAAAATGGTAGCGTTCGCATCATCACATCTTTCTTTCCGCTTTCCAATTTTTCCGCGGTCGATCAATGTGGCTTTTGACCAAGTTGGGGCGCAAGCGAAACTTCATTCATTTGTCTCGCTCGAAAATTAAATTTTAATCTCGTTCGCGCAGACCCGCGCGGCGAGTCGCGAAATTGTTATCGCAGTTAAAAATTTGAGAAACGACGCGCAATAAGGCGACGCGGGATTTTATGAATAAAACGGTAATTACGATAAACATGTATTTCGGACGTGTTCGTGTCTCTTTCGTCGCGCAAAATGATATTTCAATTGGTTTTCTCGCAATTGCAACGATCTCAAGTTTCTTTCTCTCGTAACTTCAGGAGAGTTCTCGATTGAAAAAGTCCGTATTGCCTCGTTATTTTCAAACTTACACCGGGTCCTTCGCTGTGCGAATAATTTCGCGACTACTGCCGTGAAATTGTCGCACTGCCAACCGTGCGCGAACGTACTCGTTCTTCCACTTCGCTCTGTCATTTCCTTCATCGATTCGCTTCACTCACGGGGAACAGCGTGTAGCAAGTATCGGTCGATCCGACACCTTTTCTCTCTCTCTCTCTCTCTCTCTCTCTCTCTCTCTCTCTCTCTCTCCGTCTCTCACGTGCGACGCACAGTGGCCTGGTAGACCGCGTTTTCGTGGCTACAATTATTTTAGCGTCACTTCAACATTTAAAACCATAGCACGGTAGGTCGTTGAATTCGTCTCGACGTCAGCTTTAACGTCGTCGAGTCAAAAAATGTGCAACGACAATTTCAAAAACAGAGGAAACCTTGAGTTTCTGTGGAAACAAAATTTTTTCTTAAAATTCTTTGCTTTGAAATTTGTGGAAGACCGAATGCTGGTTAATTTTCGTTCCAAACGTTTTTCTTTGCTAGATCGTCGGGAATAATTGAAAAATTGTGACGGTGGTGGTCCGCGTTTGAGATTCAAGCGTAACTATGCATTTGGGCGTCCAAATATCGCGGATTTCTACTTCTTAAAATCCGTGTCTGTTTAAAGGCCGCAGGAGGGTGCATTTAAAATATTGTACGCACTTCTCAACAGTTGTTTAAACTTTCGTGTAACACAAGTCTGACGTCAACCGCTCTTAATCATTTATTTTAAAGTCAAAATTCGAATCATTACGAACAGTATTCTGCTTGTACATGGATACGCTTAGCTGAATAGTCGAAACACGCTTGTCGATATGCACGAAACAATAACTAAAACCCTTTATTCACCTGCAACTCCATAATTAGCAACTAAAAAAATTCACTTCGCTTTAATTCGCAGAATTTTGACCTTGGTTGTACTCGTTCGCGTAATTATCCAAGATGAATAACATTCCGAATCCGAGAAGGTCTTCTCTTCGAAGAAAAAAATTTCGTCGAAACTCGAAACGTTGAGTCTCGAGCCATAAAAGAAAAACGCGGTTTCCTGATCACCTGAATGCAATCTGAATCGAATTTGCTTTGCGGCAAACGTACGAGAGAGAGAGAGAGAGAGAGAGAGAGAGAGAGAGAAAACAGCTACGCAGGATAGAGAGGTGCTCGTCTCATTCCCGGTCCCACTGTAAATAGTGAACATGTCGGCGGTGACGTGACAACGGTGGTAGGACTGTTGCGCAAGGTATCCTTAACCGCCCCTGGGTGCAACTAACGCCGCATGTATTGATTGCATATTAGCATCGTGTTCTCCTACCAACCCCCTCCCCCCTCCTTTCCCTCCCTCCGCCGCTCCTCCCCTCCTCCCCGACGTCGCCCCTTTGGTCGAGCCTTGATAACGAATGCCTGCCAATTCCAGGATTCCCGATGATTCGCGCAGGAACTCCGAACGTCACTTAATTCACTGTGTTTCGCCCCGGAATTTCTAGAACTCTATTGAACCCTTTAGCTCCGCCCGAGCGAACTCCTTCGGAGGAATTACGATTCCACCGATTACGAGCAGAGATGTATCTCTCCTGTCAGAGAGGAATTACGTTTCCGGAGGAGGGGAGGGGAGGGGGGGGGGGAGGTTCGACACGAGGTTGGCGAAAAGTTAAAGGGTCATAATAGATACATAATAACGATTTCCGATCGTCGCTACGAACGGCGTTGGATCGTCCGATCAATTGGTGCTGATTTTGGCAGGTAGTTTGACGTAGTTAAGCAGCAACGCGGTATCTCTCCGAGTACGAGAGAACGTTTCAAGTAGATCGATCGGTTTGGTCGCTAATTTCGGCGATCAGTCGAAGGTGGTACAAAGTTCGATAGTTTTCTTTTATGGAGAGGTGGAAACGAAATCGAAGGGAGAAGGTGGGAAGGGCGAAATATCAATTTTATTTTAGGTTTCGAACTAGTGTTGCAACCCTCGGAGGAAGAACTTTAATGAACAATAATGACTAATTTTCTTATCATTACCGAAGATGTCAAAAGTATGCATATACAGATATTTCGCGTCCCTATCTTCATAAAAGAGTCGAAAGCAAAGTTGTCGAATCCTGAATAACGAAAGTCGGGTAAGTTCGGTGAAACAGTCTCAGGAAGAAGGGAACCAAACCATGCCAAAGACAAACCTCTGCTTCCAAAGTGAAACATTACGAATATCACCTAAAAATCGACACGCACTCGTCAAACGATCCAACCATCCAACGTTACCCGTTACGTCGTCGTTACGTGACGACAGTTCCATTATACGAGTGTTACACAAACGAACTCGCCAAAAAATAAAGAAAAAAAAAAAGAAATAAAAAAAATGAAACGCGGACGAGCTGAGGGAGCGATCTGAGGTGGTCGACGCGAGAGCAGCGCGTCGTCGAGTGATTCACGAGCGTGTCCGATTTGTCGCTTTGCCCTCGTCCCCTCGCAAAAGAGCAATCCGCCCCCGCATAGACGTACACACGTACGTGCATACCAGCGCGTTTGTAGCCCGTTTTAGCCGGGAAACGATAATTCCGCCCTCGTAGCACGCTAGTACGGTAGAGCTAGCCTCTGTTTTGTGACATGCCTTGTGTCTTGTGGTACTAACCCGTGGCGCTTGACGATGGCGGACGTGCCTGCAGCAGCGGAGGATGTTACAGGTGAGGTGCGCAGCTCGTTGGCACCCTCGAAACCGCAAAGAACCGCCAGCATGAGGGACCAAGCGACCTCGCAGCCGATCGTCAAGAAACACGGCTCCTCAAGCCCGGCCCTTAATCAGGATTACGAGGCCGTTGCGGTCACTGCGCCACCAACCTCCGATTCACTGGTAATGCCGCTATTAATTGGCGTTTCACGATTTTTATCGAGGTGTAAGTAAGAGGAGAGATGTTCAAGAATTTAACGTAAAATTTTGTCTCTTATTGCCCTCAAAGTGACATTTATGACGGTAGGGGAAAGCCGGGTACCTAATGTATTTGGCTTCGTTGCAAACAAAAAAATCATGGTTGACAAAAGAAATATTCACGTAAGGCTAAATCGCCAGATTGGACTTTGTACAATAAGAAAATGACCAAACTTTCTTGTTTGGCTCACGGGAAAATGAAAACCCGGTTTTGCCCCATAGGAGTAGATAAAAAGATTATTATAGACTATTAAAAGACGTATAAAATGAAATATACAATTTTTATTTTTATTAGCTAAAACAGTAAAATAATAAAAACTGTTATTTTTGACAATTTTAATAAAGGTATTCTATTGCTTTATAAAAAATTATGTTAATTACTAGTTTAGGAATTTTTACTGTTTTTATAAAAAATTTAAACTATTTCAGCATATAAATATATATATATATATAAACAAATATATATAAACAAAACAAAATGAAAAATCTTGATTAACAAAACAAAATTCGCAAATAAAATATTCGTCGCCCTCTTCAACACTTGTACATATCACTTGTGCCCATCCATAACACGTAGTGCACTGAATCCATTGTTCTTTGAAATGGGTCAAAATACTCTGTAAGGACTATAGAATACAAATATTACTTGTCGAAATGGATTCCTGAGTGTACACTGAAAAACACTAAAAATACTAAAACTAATTTTAGTGTACGCAGAAATGATAAAATAAGCGTAATATTTATTATTGTAACTTAAAAATTTTTTAAATACGGCTCTTTTAAAACTTTTGAAAATGTAGAATATAAATTCGGAAACATTTACGGAGGATGTAGAAACTAATAGTGATATTGGCACTAACAGTGACGATGTTGACGAGGACCGATATTTTAGGAGAGAATAATTTTTTATAAATTTTTTTCTATATATAAAATTTATTTCTATATAAAATTATATTTTCTTCCCTTCTTAGCGACAAGAAATCAACGTTGTGTCTCCGTCGATAAGGCGTTAATTACGTTCGATTCTTGGAGCATCTTTCTTTGAACGATCTGGGTACACAGTTGTGCCTTTTGGAGAGCGAGGAAGATTCGACGAGTCAAAATCGGTTGGAGGTCTCAATGAAGTCTCTGATAAAATATTGTTCTTATTGATTTTTATCTTATTTTATTAATGGAACCTTGTTCTTAGAATTTTGAAGACAGATTATCTTTCTTTACGTAAAGTATCGTTTTCAACCAATTATTAATTCCATCTAATTCTCCACAATTTTTCCTCAATGAAGTCTCTGATAAAATATCTTTATCATTGATTTTTATCTTGTTTTATTAATGGAACCTTATTCTTAGAATTTTCAAGATAGATTGTATTTCTTTGCGTAAAATATCGTTTTCAATCAATTATTAATTCCATTTAATTTTCCACAATTTTTCCTCAATGAGCACAATATTGTTATTATTGGTCTTTATTTTATCATACTCAGAGTATCACTTTCTCGTTACTTGTACCACAGCTTCCAGAGCATTTCTCTCATGTAAAAGTTCTTTTCTACCAACTTTTAACTCCTAATTTCAATTTTCCTTGGTTTTTTTTTTTTTCTTACAAAGGTGAAAACACAATATCGTTGATTTCTATCCGATTTTACTCGTAGAATTTCTTCCTTTATTCGTTTATTTGTCCATAAGGATCTTTAATATATACTGTATCTTTTTTTTTTTAAATAAAATTCCCTTCGCAGTTACTAATCTCAGCGTGGATCGACATTTTTCCAGACGTCTAACGACAGTCATGTTTACGAGTGCCTTTCCAGCTCGCCGGAGTGCGACTCGAATCTCGAGCTACGGCACGGCGGCGGATCTCATCTCACCTGCAAGAGGAAGTCCGACAGCAACGCGATGGAACCAGGTGCGGAATTCAAATTCCATCATCAGACGTTCGTCAGATCGACCTCGTTGGCGTATTGCGGCAGCGAGACCGAGAGCGAGCTCTATGCCCCGTATGGTTTTTACACCGGCGATGAGGTACGATCTCGTGGTATTTCTCTGGCTGGACATAACCGCGTGGGTGGTCTGGTGCGAGGCGTATCGATCTGTTCCGAAACTGTGTGTAACCAATGTGTGTGCGCACATGTCCGCTGATCTCGAAATTCTGACGAGCAGAATCGAGAACGAAACGATATCGACACTTTGAAGAAATTTTGATTTCTTTTCTTTTGTGAAAAATTCGATCAAAATCTTCCCAAATTCCCGTGGCTAAAATTTCTCTATTGTTTGAAAATGATACGCTCGACTGAAAATTCTGAATTTCCGATGAAAAACTGAATATCGCAAATGGTCACTTTTATCAAAGTCGTACAACAACGTAGAATTTTCGATATTTCGTTCTTCACTTATTTTGAGCAACATTGGAGAGCAGTATTCTTTATGATAAATGCATTTCGAACGTATTACGTTCGTGGAACATTTCTAGATTTCTTTCTGTTTAGAAGGTATCACGAAGAATTGAATTTTACAAATCACCACCGTCAGCTTCTTCTCGCGTACCGTAAAATTTTCCGCATCTCCTCTCTCATTATTTTTTTCCACTCCAAGATAGAAACTTGGAATTGCATTGCTTCTTTTATTACTTTTTTTATTACTCTGCACGTTTTACTTCTGGCCTCTACCTTTACTATTGACAAAATATTATGAAAGCATGAACGTCGAAAATGTTCGCAGTTAGCTCCTTTCGAGCTACGTTTTTACAATCTTTGCGTATCATAAAATTTTCCATTCATTTCCAGAACGCTTGTAAAAGCACTCTCCTCTATTATAAATTATAAAATGCACAAAAATAGTTTCATCACAGAAACCTTTCACTGTTCGTATCTCGTTTTACGTAAAACACTTCGAAAAAGTATCGACTGTCGCGACTATATTGATAGAAATCAATCTGAAAATGTACGCTCCTGTTCGGTAGCGAGCTTAAAAATATTAAATTTTAAAATATTAAATTTGTCACCGATAACAAAATTTATAATACAATTCTTTATAGATTCTCTGTTACGCAAATACATTATTTGATTTCTCTAGTTTTTTAAATAAATACAATACCAGATTTAATAAGAAGAATAAAAATATATTGTCTTTGTACGTAAAAATTATGAAAATTATACAAAAATTAGTATATAGCACGGACAGCCGTCTATACAAACAACTATTAAATATAATCCCGTCGAACACCGAAGCTCATTAACATGCTGGACAATTGAAACTTGTTTCAATATTTATTTCCACGGTCACCGGTGAAATAAGCACTCGTAACTTCCAGCCGAGCCTCATAACAGCGCCAATAAAATTTGAAAACATTTCAAATATGCAACATGCATAATTCATGGCTCGTAAAAAAATATCCAAATGGCTTCCGCGAGTCCGTGTGTATTATATTACGTTCACCCTCACCCTTCGAGTTGTTACTATCTGAAAAAAAAAAAAAGGGAGAGGAAGAAATCGATGAGCCGGCAGTCGCCAACCGAGAAAGACACGAAAGGTCTGAAGAAATGAAACGAAGGGCTCGCCAGGGTTTTTCACGTCTGGCTTCCTCAAAAGCGAATCGGATCGGTTTCACAGCTGCTTAGCAAGCCCGGCGCGATTTTATTACCGCGCAACTCTATCCCGCGGTATTTGCCGGAACTTTATTATTCGACGGGGTGAAGTTTTCGCGCGCCGCGCCGCACGCGTCCTGCCTACCCCCTCCCCCTCCCCCCTCCGCTTCTTTATTTAATAAAGATCCCGGGGAAACAATTTCACTTGGAGGATAGTTTTATCGGGCCGCGCAACCGCGCCCGGGACTTATAATGGGATTTTTCGAGCGCAGGGTCCCGAGGAGGATCAAGACTGGAAGAACAAGGACGACGAATTGAGGATAAGCCGATTGAGGCAACGCAGAGGTCGCAGCATAGTTCATCGAAGCCTCGAGGATAACTACGGCGCGGTGGTCGTCGCCAATCACGAGGCCCTCGCCCAGTTTCTCGACCAGGTACTTCCCCACTCCGCGGGAAACTTTCCTCCAGCTACTTATTTCCATGATCCCGAGCCTCTTCCGTATCTGCGAGACTTTTAATAGAATCTTAAATGTTTTTTCCTTTTTTTTTCTTTCTTTCTTTCTTTCTTTCTTTCTTTCGTTCGGATGCAGCACAATGCAGTTTCATTGTGGAACACGTATTGAAAGTATGGTAATTTGTACAATACAATCATGGTGGAACTTTTGTTTGCATGAATTTTACGAGAGACAAATAGTTTACATAATTGGAGGAATAATAGTTTTACACAAAATGGAAAGAAAAGTTTGCCCGTGGCTATCATGAATGAATTCTATAATGCCAAATTTTTTTTTCTTTTTTTTGCATTGTATTCTACTCATCGCCAAGCTAAAACCTTTTTCTTCGCGATTTTCTCCAAATGCGAGTAAAAGTGAACAAATTTCTAAAAAAGATTAGATTTTTTTCTTAGTTTATCAGTCCGGTGTGCACGTTCCCAAAATTTTGACATTTAAATTCGAGACACTCTGTATTATGGGAGCTTACCGATTCTCCCCTCCTTTCGTTCTTACACTAGAAGTTCAAGTTCAAACAAATGGAACCAGCAAGAGTTCATTTCAATCGAATATTGACTAAAATCTTTTGGTTCGAATAAACGGAGTTATCAGAAGTTCTTTTTAAATATAATAATATAATTTGTAGTAATATAATAGTTTGTGTGACTGGAGTTCACGTGATAGGAGACATTCGTACAAGTGGATTTAATCAACAAGAGTCAGTTGCTATTTAATTGGGTATCAACTAAAATTTGTTCATCTCGGATAAATGACGCTCGCATAAACGGAGTTCAGAGGCATGCGATAGACAGATATAAAAAGCTCCTGAAATGTGTAATGGTCTATTTCAATATTACTTCTGGCGAAAAGTTTTTAATCAAACGCATGCATTGGAAAAATATTCAAAAACATTGAAATCACTGAAATATAAAACACTCTTCTATGTATCGGAAACGCACGATAAATATATACATTCGATTCAATTCGACAAACAGTGAAAACATATTTTCAAATATGTACTAGCGTTCGATCGAAAACTTTTTTCCCCAGAAGTGATATACGTGTATCTCGTTACGAAAATTGTTTCCAGTTTATGCGTAAATGCACTTGGGGAACTATGCGTTGTCCTGTTAGTTCGCGTTGCAATGCAATTTTTATACAGAAGAACTATTGCAAAAGCATCCTGGTTGAAAAAAAAGACTCGATTCGAGCAATTAATTCTTCAAACATAGGGTTTGATCCTATCAAGGAATTTTATATTAATATAAATAATGGCATACTGTGGGAAGCACTATATTATGTTATATTAATATATCGCACAGAGATATTACGTTAGAGTTCCACGGAAATGAAACCACTAATAAAGAAATTAAAAATTAATTAAGCGATAGGTATGAAAATTATAATTCTCCGCAGTATGCTTTAAACGCTGACCCAAAATATCAGTATAATAATTGGCATGAATTTATGCGATGATCTAATAATTGATATGGGTTAGCCTTGTTCATTATCACATCTGTTCATTCTGGCATACACTGAAATATATGCGCCTAGCTAATGTAATATGTACGCTAATGTAATACATGCATGAATTCCGTTCCACTTTTATGATCCGGAGCATGGTTATTATTAAACGCAAACAATACAAAAATCCGTGTGCTTAATATAACTTGCCTTCGGTCTCTCAGGCAAATGTGTGAAATTACGTTTCACGTTCAACGAGGTCAAACGCTTTTCAATAAAGTGCATCAAGCGATTTAACGCTCGTTAATGAAAGATGAAAAAAAGGAGAAAGATTACACGCAGTGGCAACGAAATAATTTCAAAATTGTCCGGTAACAGTGCGCGTAATATCGTCGATAATCGCGATAGTTGTAAATTAATTCAATTAACATAAGTTTAATTAATCAGCGAACAACCCATCAACGATCAAACACGATAGTTTGTCGTAACGTTATAAATAATTCAATTTCATCAAATTTCATGGAATCCAACGAACACCAACAAAAGAGATACGAAGACAATGAATTCTTTTTGAAAATTCTTCCCTTTGAGTTTCTTTTCGCGGCTTCAACCGAGTTAAAATCAGATGGTATAATGAAAAAAAAAAAAAAAAAAACAAAACTGTAAACGAAATGTCTTATATTGCCTAACTAAAAATTTGTTTGTTCAAATATACGGCACGTGTGTACGTATACGGTTCGAATAAACAGAGTATTTTTTTCGCGGTATCTAATTTCGACCGACTCGCTTCGGCGAAACTGTATTTAGATGTATATTCATGGTATCGGGCAACAACGTCGCGTCGTTCAACAACACGTCGTTTCATAGAATATGCATGGGGATATACATTTCCTGTTGCAGCTGAACCAAACGCCTCAAACGCCGGCAGGGCTGCGAGCGTTGAAAAATACGAACCCGCGTTTAAGCCACTTCGGCATCGACGCCAATACGTCGATCACCGTCGGCAGAAGAATATTTTGCTCGGCGACGTGGAACGAGCTGAACGTCACTTTGTGCGTCGCCTTCGATCTGGCCACCCACGTGTCGCGGAAGGAATTTTATTTGGCACCTGTGATCGAGTTCATAGACAGCCCGCCGAAGGAAATTACCGACAGGGCGTGTCCACATGGCAACAAACAGCTCGAAGGTACTTGCACTTTTCATCTCTTATCTCTTGCAATGTTACAAATGGAATTTTAAGACTTTGAATTTTGGTGAGAAAATTAGTCGCCTCGTTCTCGTGGACCAATGTTTAATTTTATTAATTAATTCGCGCCTCTTCTCGACGACTGCGAGGAGCAAAGAAATATCCATCTCGATTCAAGTGCCATTTCCAACGATCGATGCGACGTGGCGATATTTTGAAGCGAAATGATACTTCTTGCATTTCATTTGACAGTTACTCTCGATCGCGAGGTATCGGTTACTCTTGCGTGAGGACGACGAGTGGAAAATATGCTTCGATTTCGAAAATCGGGTCTCTCGTTAAAGACCGAGAGCGCAACGAAAATGAAATTCACACTGGAGCTAATCATAAGACTCGATGAAAGTTAAATAAATGTAACGTGTACGAACGTTTCTTTCGGAAATGTTACTGGATTGAGTAAAAAATAATTTTGTATTTTAGTGACAAAGTGAAACATGTTTTTTTTTTTTTTGTATCTTAAATGAAGCTCATTAAACTAAATATGTGCCGTTTTTTTCGAATACCTTTTCAATTTACTCTATGATGCACTTTTCCAACGCACGCAATTATTGCCAGAATTATGCCTATCCTAAAGCTGTCGGGGGAATACGAAATTACTTTTTACTCAACCCAATACTTTAGTCAATTTGTTTCGAAATGCAAGATTGAATTCCGTCCATCGAACAATCGTGCATCAGACGTGTATTTGTACCGATACAGTGGAAAAATCGCTGATACAAAAGAAAAAAAAAAAAAAAAAAAAAAAAAAGAAAAAAACAGAAACGTGCTTCGTCAAATTTTCAGAGTTAGCGTCACACTAACAATCGTCAAAAACTGCGAAACAGAAAAATTCATCCCAATTTCAGCGACAATTTCCGTACTGCCGCGTCTGCAAGCGAGCACGATACAATTGTTCGGCGCGTCGATCAGGGATTTGCACGACGAGGGGACAATTAGAGAGGCGTCGTTCGTGCTTCTTCAATTCGTCACCGCGTTGAAGAGCCTCCAAGCGCGAGGAATCGAGGAATCGGCAAGCAGCCTGAACAACGTGGTTCTTTGCCGAGAAGACAAGGACGCCTACTACAGGCTCTATCTTCTTCAAGGGTGAGTAAACGCGTGGGTTGCTCGGAATTGGCTCGTTCACTGCTCGATAACGTTTGACAGATTGAACGTGGAGACGAACGAGGAACGCGAGGAGGAGAGGGTCTCGTTGTGTCAGTGTGCTCTTGTGGCGCTTCAGCAGCTCAACTTGGTCAGCAGGTTGCCGCTGATTCGTGAACTGCTCGTGAGGGAGAAGGCCGTCACCTTGTCTCAGGTAAAATCCTTCGACGAGATTTTCAACTTGTTTCTCCAAGGTCAGAGATCATCACTTTGAAGATTAGCCCTCTGAGCGTGCTAGAATACTCGGCAGATAATTTCGCTATAGTAGAATAGTAGAGTTTATTTATTAGAATTTAAAATTGATTTGTTATTTAATATTTAGTAAATTAATAAAATTTATTTATTAGAAAGAGAGGGCAACATGTTACAATATACTGAACAATCACATTAAAATACATATGTTCCGAGATGAACGTATTTTTATAATTACATGCTCCTCATTTAGTATTAAATTTTTAGATTTTTGATCGTTCAGACGTGCATTTGTACCGATACAGTGGAAAAATCGCTGATGCAAAAGAAAAAAACAGAAACGTGCTTCGTCAAATTTTCAGAGTTATAAGTAGTGGCTAGCGATGCTACATGATTCTAGATCTCGCTTTCATTACAATTTTTTTCAATTATACAACAATCAAAGGGTTAATGATCAAAGGGATAATGGCTAGCGATAGATCACATTTTCACAGTGCTTCAAAGTTTTTTAATTATATGACAGTAAATTTAATATACTCGGATCTGAATGTAGTAATGTGTAAATTTTATACTGTACAGGGTGGCTATCATAAATAAATTCTATACCTTCGATTTGATGGAAATACATGAACCGGTCATTTATTAATTAATGATTAAGAAACTTTTCTGCCATTTCTCAAGAGAACTATTACGACCCATGGTTTCTTGGAAAAGTTTTACCTTCCCGATGAGTAGAATACAATACAAAAAAAAAAAATTTTTTTTGAAATTCAAGGGCGGCAGGTTTACATGTCCATCAAATCGAAGGCGTAGAGTACATCTATGACAGCCAGATTAACTTTTCTTTCCACCCTGTACAGAAGTATCATTTTATGGCCATTGCTTATACCGAATTCGATAGCTGCGTCAAGTTCACAAACCGATTTATTCATTTAGCGCTGTATATGATCATCTATTTAACGGCGCTAAATTAAAACTAGCCACAAAATTAACGAAACTAGCCGACGTTCCAACTAGTGTTAATCCATAAGAATCCAGAAACCGAAATCTGTGTTCTCAACGTAGGTGAAATCCATCCTGGAATTTTCGCTGTGGGGCCCGGCGGACGTGACGTTCGGTGGCCCACGAGAAAGGGAGATCACCCTCCAAAGATGGCTGGATCTGGAAAGAGCGAACGTTCTTCACGCGTTAGTGAGGACAAGGACGCCTCTCACCGTCACGGACGAGTACCAATTGCTGTTCTTGGTTCGAACCAGCGCGAAGATCATGAGCGAAGCCTCGTTACTTCTGGACGAGCAACGAAATCGTTTGGCTCGGCCTCGCTGACCGATGGCCGAGCAGTGTCGTAGAATCGAGTCTTTCAGAGATCAAATATTATTTAATTATTATTTATACACGTGACTGTCTAATTGTACATTAAAGGTGTTCCAAGTTTCGAGAAGCATGCGTAGTTCTCGAGTGACAAGGAGAGCGAAACTAACTGAAGGACAGTGGCGATTGTACAGATGGAAATTTGCGAGGCAACGCGAATGTCGTGCGCAACTGAGCATTCTTGTCTGCATTTAAGAGTAACAATTGTCTTTAATTATTGTCTCCGATAGATCGTAATCTCATTAAGTATTTGTATAAATGAACAACAAACGTCGTTCAACGTATTTCCTCTGGCGGACAATTTTACGGTTGATCCGATTAAGAGGAAACGTTAAATTACTGGAGCGTTTCGTCGCGCGGTTATTGTCGCAAATAATATTCAAGACAGAAAACTGCAGCAAGTTAACATCCCCATCGATATTTCTGTTTTAAAGCTACATTTTATACCTTTTTTTGAAAATATATTTCGCTACCTTTGAGACATTTTATTTCAACAGATGGTATTTTATAACAATTTTGTTTCACAAAAAAAAAAAAAAAAAAAAACCAGGAACACTACTATCAAGATAAGCAACGATATCTGAATATTACGAGCAAGTGACACGTTCAAGACGAAGCGGTGTTCAACTTTGAGGCAAAGCGAAATGACAACAACTTTTGTAACGTGCGTGTATGATTCTGAATTTTCAGAATCGTTCTACCTTTGGAAATAAAAGGGAACGTGACTTATCCCCGTTATGATTCTCAATATTTGAGTTTATCCAATGCAAAGTCCGCTCTTCCGCTCCTTTGCCAGACCTAAATCAACAGCCACGTCGTTTCCAGAACGTCAGCGGATCGTTCGATCCCTGTGATAACAGTAATATACACCGAGCCCTTCGTAAGATCGTCGAAGAGTCAACGAGGGAGGCGCCAATTGCCAATCGTTTCTCCAGCAACTTGCTGGGTACATCGGTTCCCACTGTACGAGACGTAAATGCACAGAGGCAGTCTGCGACAGCGGGGCCGATCTATCAACGTCGCGGCGCGGAATCCACGCCAAGTATCCGACACAACAAATTCCGTGTAATGGCCACGCACGAGATCGAACGTTGTATTATCGTTAATGCAATAGCGACGCGGGGCGCAGCCGGCTCGATAAATCAATAATCGCAGCGGCGAGCGCAGCCGGAAGGCGTAGCTATTGCCGAGGCCTCCGGTGAAATACGCGACACGTGGCCCCGATACCTCTCGATCAGCCGATTAAAAAATTTGGCGCGATTCCCAAAGCCAACCAGGAGCCACTTTGATCCCCCTTTCCCTCCGTGTTCCCCTTTCTCCTTCGTCACCGATCTTCTCGTATCTCCGCGATTCCTTTCAGACGCGTTCCTCCCCCGTCGGGCGACGGGATTGGACTACGCAGGAACGCCGAAACGAGTTTTTAATTAAACCTTGCAAATTTAACGGCAGACGGCGAGAGAGACTCGCGGGATCTCGTAAACCAGCCCCTTTTAATAACTCGGCCTCGGGAGAGGCGACTTTTAAACGAAGCTGCCACCGCACGCTTAACCTTCTCGGTACGGTGGTGGCGCGCGCGCGAATTCGCTTCCGTGACGCGCTTACGAGGGTATTTTGGTAATCTGGCTTAAAAAAAGAATCGATTTTTCGTTTCTACGTTTTCTCAAAGTATATAAGGCTTTCGAGAATGCCTATGTAAAAGGATTTGTTTGACGTCGTAAAATTAGCAAAGTTATAGGTGTCTAACAGCGACATTGTGGTTCTGGACGTGTGGATGTAATGTTTATATTCCCAATGATATTAATAGGTCTATCATTTGATCATTTAGACTCACACCGATGCTACATCTATGATAAATGAAACCTAATCCAGAATCATAAAGTCGCTGTTAGCACAAATGTGTGTCCGCAATGTTAAATGATTAAGAAACTTTTTGCCAGTTTTCAAGAGAACTCCTATGATTCCTCGGAAAAGTTTTACCTTCCTGGTGAGCAGAATACACCGCGGACAAAAGAATTTTGAAATTTAAGGTTTACGTGTTTCTCCATCAAATCGAAAGTGTAGAATTCGTCTATGGTAGTCACGGACAAACGTTTCTTTCCATCCGTACATAGCGAGCGTCAGATGTATAATCAGTTAATTAGCAGCAAGATTAACCAATATTCGCAAAGAATTTTTCGACTCCCAAAAGATGGGATAAATTTAGATTCGTCCCGTGCGGATGTAAAATAACGGATGTTTCTCAACCAGAAAAGACGCGTTCGGGGGTTGAAACGTCTGAAATATTCCGCCGAATATTTTATCGAAACAATAGGTCGAGCTGAAGAGCGCTTGAACGTAAACGTCCGCTGCTACGAAATAAAGAACTACTTGTTTGTCGGGCTACTCGAGAGTGCCTCTCGTCGGGGTAAGTTTCCTAGCTAGTAGTGTACACCAATTATTGGCCGGACGTGGCACTGTACGGCCCGGCTGGCATAGATGTCGCGTACTCTACTGACGACTGTTTACTTCTCGAAAAGTTTTCAACGCTCCTTAGTCGGAAACGAGCCTCGTCCTTTCACCCATTGGCTTAAAAAACTTTCGGTGACCTTGAACTGTACGGTTTGTCAGTAAGACAGTCAGTTGCGAATGCGTTGGATCATCAATGGATCAAATTTTAGTTTATTAAAATTACATGACAAAATCTTTGAAATTACATTACTAAACCTTGTGACTTTGTATTATAAGATTTCGTCGAAACGATTAGCTACAAGTGTTTATTGAAATACAAACGATCCCCATATCGCGACCAAGTAGAACAGTTTGAAATGTTTAAATTTCATCGCCGCAGTGAAAAACTGAGAAGGTATCGAAGGAGACAACTAATGACAACTAACCTATCGTTTTCACTCGTGGATCAGAGACAGAAGTAACAACCAATGTATTTGGCTCTCAACTGCATTCTTCGAGACGTCTGCTGTAATGGACGCTCTCAGACGCGACGAGCAGATACCATTGACAGAGAAAACAATGGCGGCGTAGCTTTTCGTGCTTTTAACGGCGGGAAGTCGAAGTCGAAGGAGGGCGGAGTGCTCGGCCGAAAATCGATCGAAATCGCGGACTGGCTGGTTGGCTGCATCCATCTCCATTAACAGATACGCAACGCTCGAGTTCGATTCGCGCTCGATTTTTGAGTTATCGCCGCGGCGAGAGACCAAACGACGATGGAGGATCGAACAATGACAGCCGTCGTTCCCCTAAGAACGACGAGTGGATTGCCTTCTGTTAAACGTTTCTCCGCTGCGTTTCTCGTCTGCTGGAAGCGTTTGTCGTTTGTCTTCTAAATTGTTTCGGCAAACACGGGGACAGCGACCGACGAATGTAAATTGTCGTGGCAACGGTTATAGGGAAACGAAGTGTTTCGACAAACAGGGAGGGATTCCGATGACTTTCAGATCCAATTGAACTCGTGAAATGTTCGCGGATTTTTATGCCTTTGCGGGATACATACAGAATGTGTACAATATGAAACATTCAAGATGAAGTGCTTTTTTCGTAATACTTGGTATGCGAAACAATTTTCTACCAAGGTGTTAGTCTTTTAATTGTATAAAATCTGCAATTATCAAAAATCTAATTATAATGAGAGAGAGAGAGAGAGAGAGAGAGAGATGCTTATTACTCGTAATGTACCGGTAATGTAATGATTCGTTCATCGTAGCCGACGCTCTCGTATTCTTTTACCTCGATATTTCAACTGAATCGAACCTTCTTGCAAAGCAGTAATTGCACCGTGAGTGCCAGGTAAGCGAGAAATAGAAACTCAGCAAAATAGAATTTTATCGAAATTTTAGAAAAATTATATATATATATATATATATATATATATATATAAAAAAAAAAGAATTATGAACGACATGCATTTGCCACCGTGTGAGCAAAATTAAAATCAAGTGAACACGATCGTGTGTGTCTGTTTCTATTGCTTCAGGCTGACGGAGCTTTGACTTGTACTACTGGAAAGTGTTGAAACCACGTAAAGATACCACCAACGAAACGATTTTAGTTGTAGAATTACCAACTTCTAACATCTGCATATTCAAATAGTGAAGACAGATGACAGACGACACGTTTCAACGCTCACAACGTGTTCCACGTATTCTAAATTTTGATGCCCGCATTGTTGCTCTGACGTCAAGAATAATCGCGGCGATCAACGCGAGGATCGTGAAGGGATACTTTCGCGCAAAATGTAACACGCGAATGGCTCGAGTATCCAACTAATTAGTCGACCCACTTTAGACACGGTGCTCGAGCTGAGAGGCAGTTGAAACAAAGTTTTAGTACGTTGACAACGAGCCGGCCTTACCGGAGGCCAGAAAAAAGAATAACAAAAGCTGGTATTACGTAAGTAGAGGAGCGACGTTAGGCGGTGAAAACGCATAATTACCCCCGATCTTCGAGCCATTTACGTTCCTCCTCCTTTTTTTCCCCCCCTTTGCACCACGAGCGCACGATAATAAGCTCGCGAACTGAGAACTGTCGCGGTAACAGCGTCTGCACAGTCCCGTTTGGCACGTTCGTCGACGAATTTTTACCTCTCTTTTTTCTTTCTTTAAAACAGATACACTGCCAGAATTTGTATTCTTACTACGTGCTTTCCGAATTTCGTTTCTTTTCCTCTTCTTCGTTCGGGATGGAACATCAACCAATTGCACAACGTGTTTATAAAGAGTTTCCTAATCGAATTCGATTCGATTTGAAGTACAATTCCACCCGCCCGCGAAAAAATACGTTCCACCCTTTGTCAATTTATCATTTTTCGGGATCGCGCGCAAACACGGATATAGGTGTGTGTATATATATATATATATATACGTCGGGACGACCGGCTCGACAAGCGGACAGCAGGATTTTTGACCGATCATCCTGTTTACTAATTTCACGTGAGGCGAGAAGCGAGCAAACAGCGGGGCAGTTATTTCGAAAGCACAGAGCTTAATTTGCCCGGACGAGGGAATCTAGATTATCCTGGCGGGCGGATTCGTGCGCGTGAGGTCAATTTCGTTGGTCTATCGGTCGGTTAATTTGGCCTCGCGCTGGCAGCGGGCAGCCGTGTCTCTCCGCGTAACCGCTCGGCGCTGCTTGGCCGACGCCCAAAAGTACGGACACTAAAGTGAAAAGCGTTTTTGCGGCTGCCGTCGCGAGCAAGCGTTAAACTCGCTAAATTTTAAGAGCGATTTCCGCCCGCGAGTTAATGAATTATGACGTCCTTTTTTAGGGGGGAGGGAGGGAGGAAGGGGAAGTAGCCCGAAAGAGCTGAAATTCTAAATTTCGCGAAATTTCACGGTGTGTTAAAAGACACGCGCAATGGGGTGCGAGTCAACTCTGTTAATGAAAAATAGCTCAGAGTCCGACTGTGATCGTTAGTCGTAATTTAATTTTTTTTTTTTTTACATTGGCTTTTAAAAGTTTTTGATTAGCTAGTCGCAACTCTGATCAATCGTTACTGCCACTGATTAATTGTTATTCGTTTTAAATGACTAGTCGTCACGATTTTATAAAAATGAAGCGAGGAAGTTGCAAAAATGAAACAGAGACATCTTTAGACATTTTAAAAGTTCAAACAGACTTGAAAACACTGGAAGATTTTTCTCGTGAATAGATCGATGATTTTGGAAATTACAATTTGCCATAGGATCCTTTTTATTGATCTCCGAAGGACAAAAATTCAAGAAATCCTAGCATTTCGTTGTCTAACACTGATACTCGAAGTTCA